AGGTGACATTAATGAGCACATTGATTAATATAATGGCATATAGAGAGCCCATCTAACCATAATTGATGGAGATTAATTTCATGAGCACAAAATTGATGACATGGCATGTAATGAGCCGCTCTACAGCATAATGCACTAAGAATAATTTCCAATTAATTAGATATATTAATATTTCCCCTCAAATTATGATGGTTGGTCAGCAAGCATCAATTTGCTTGCAAGAAACGAGATTCAAAATCTTTTAGAGCCTGGATCATAACATGCATAGCCTTGTGTAAAGTATTGTCGCCCATAAATGCACATTTAACAATAGACTGAGCAGAAAGTTTATAACGTTCACGTGTGAGAAATGAACAAAGCAAATAACCAAATGCTCAAATCATTATAGTTCGGATGTTTATAAAAGAGACGATAATGAGGAGATTCAGTTTCAAAGTACGAGAGAATAATCTATTAATCAAATAGGATTTTGTGCTAATCTTCAACCCAAATTTTAGGCAAAATTAAGGATTCCAAAAGTAAGGTACGAAGAAGTACTAAGAGGTGACAATTTTTCTTTTCACAATACCATTTTGTTGGGTAGCATAGGAGCATTATCTCTGATTAAAAAAAATGTCCTATTTTGAAAAAAATAATGAAATTCAAGTTGCATATTCAACCCCGGAATCAATTCATGATATTTTGATGTGAGATGAAAATCAAGTCTCAACATGAGCAACATTTTTTTATGGAAAAAGAATCTACAAACTTCTCTCAAAGAAAAAAAAATCCAAGTGTAAGTGTTGAAAGTATCGATGAAAGTTACATAATATTAGAGATTTATATTTGATATAACAAAAGATATCCCATACATCACTATGGATCAAATTAAAATAATTTTCAACATGACTATTATGTAATGAAAAAGAAAGTCATTTGCATTTTCCTAATTTAAATGTTGAGCGGTTAAATAAAAGAGAAATAAATTGATATTTCTTTCCTAACAAACCAGAGTTTATTCAATGAGATAAAAAAGAAAGAGTTTGGATGAACTAATATTTCATGCTACAGACCATTATTTTGATTTACGAAAGTACATAATAATAAAGCCACCTTCGAAATGGACAAATACAAGAGAAAAAATCACCAAATTAAATCTCAATCATGAGTTTTCCACCATCTCTTGATCTTGTACAGTTCAACCATCACAAAAATATCAAACATACCAATTATTATCAATCAATTTTCCTACATAGATGACACTAGTTGAGGGAATATAACTTATGAGGACATATTTCACTATATTAATAATATTTTTAATAACTTTTAATAGGTGATTGACTATCATTAAAAATCTGAATGGATGAAGATCCATGATATGATCAGAGATATTATGAAGATGTAAAGTATCAATCATATGATTTGAAATACTAGAATTTATGAATCAAAATGACGAAAGTAGTGTATTTATACCTTAAAGCCCAAAAAGAAACAGAGCTCTAATTATCATATGTTGGGCCATATCATAGTAACTTTTAATTTGTCCATGATGCCAAATGAACAGCCTAATTATTAACTGCCGTTTCAAAAGAATTTGATTATAGATTCTAGGGTTGCAAAAAAAATTGACTCGGCATGCCAACTTGACCTGAACCTGACTCGAAAATCTGGGTTCCAGTTGACCCGAATAATTTTTTAGTCGGTTCAGGTTAAAGCACCAAACCTATTTAACTTTTTGGGTTGGGTTAGGGTTGACCCGCCAACCCGAAAATGATTTGCCAATCTTAAAATGACTTGAAATCTACCCACCAACCAGGAATTGACCAGAAATAAACTCAAAATTGAACTGAAATTGACCCAACTTTAACGCGAGTAACGGTTTTTCTTATGTTAAGCGGATTATACGGGTCAAGTTGGCGGGTAGAAGGTGGGTCCGGTTTAGGTTGGGATTTTCAACTCATATAATATTTGATTCGGCCTCAAACCCGACCTCCTAACCCGAATTGACATCTCTGATAGATTTTATTAACAATTTTGACATTCTTTAATCACATGTCCTAATTTGTTACAATAGCCGCAACTGCAAAATTTCTTTGCACAATTTGCAACAATATACCCATAGCGCTGGCAACAATAATATTGTATCAGTTACAATAATTTTCCTTTATTAGTCTCATGAGTATGCAATAACATTTTCCGGTGTTTGACGTTGAAATATAATGTCACAAGTCAATTGTTCATCACAGAGTAATTCTTTAAATCACAACTCTAACAATAGAGAACGATGCGGGGCGTATCCCACACATGTGGGATTCCCGCAGCAGGAGAGCGGAAGCCCGCTCAAGTCTAGACTGAACCGGTCCAGATGTTCGCATGTCGATGGATTTGTTCTGTCCCTATGAACTACTCTTAGTTATCCTATTACTATATATTTGTTTTTATGACATTTTAGGGTTAATTTTTGTGCATGTTTTGTATTGAGACAGTCATAAGCATCTCTTCTTCCCTAAAAGTGTTGTATCATAAGGTTCAAAGTGGTGTTTCAATTGTATCTTGATCTTTATGTGTTGTTTATTTTCTCTATTCCTCTATTGCATCCTCCCCACACCGCTCCCAACCGCCATTTCCTTACTGCTGCCGCCCGAAACAACTGTCGACGCTGTTCTTCCTACAATTTCTGCATTCCAGCCCCGATCCCCTTCACTTACAGTTCTCCCGGGCTGCCATTACTTGAAGCAGGGCTTGGCCTGCTTAACCAGTCAGGTCAATCAGTTAAGCTGAGGGATCAGTCCACGGCTAGACCAAACTGGTCTAGGCATTCACATGTCGGTAGATTTGGTCGATCCCCGTGAGTCACTCCTAGCCATTCTATTATAGAGTTGTAATCGAGTCGAACTGAGCCAAGTATATCATTGTTCAGACTTAGCTTGGTACAGTTATAAGTTGTATGTTCGACTTGAGTCTGTGTCGAGCTTTCATGCATTGTTCAAGCTTGATTTGTTTTATATTTTCAATGTTTGACCTTGACTTGTACTTAATTTGCTTATGACAAGCGAACGAGTAATTAAATGAGCTAATAAACGAGCTAAAAACTTAAATGAGAATCTAGATTTTCATATAAAATTTTAATAACTTGTATATCTAATCACAGTTATTAATTTGTCGATTATGAACTCTAAAATCTTTGAACTTTATTAATTTGCTACATAATTCTTATTGATGACAACACCAAGGGAAGAGCATTTACTTGATCATATTAATAAGAAAAAAATAACAATAAGACAATCCACATTAATGTTGTTGATAATTGCAGTGTTATGGTAATAAAAAATGAACTCATTATATTCATGATTATGAAAACTTTACAGGAAAAATCTTTTATGACACACTCTTTAACTGTAAATATCTCATTCTAAATTATCATTAATTTGTTAATAAAATAAATATATATAAGTAATAATTAAAGTAAAATTATTATTGATATAATAATATTTTACTATTAATTTTTTAATGAAATAAATTCTAACTAATTAAATTTTATTTAAATAATATATCATATATATAATATAGGTTGTTATCGAACTTAATATTGAGTATTTAACAAATTACTTGTTGAACGACAAACGAGTTTATTTGTAAACTTAAACACACAAGTTCGACTATAGTCATGCTTAATTCATTTAAGCTTCGAGTTTTAAAAAATATTCAAGCTTGTTTATTTAATAATTTGAACGAACATGATTGAGCCTTAATCAAGTCGAGTTTAGTTGCTCATTAAGTGCGTTAGTTTATTTACAACCCTAGTGTCGGTCAACTTTTTGGAAATTTGAAAATATGAATATGAAAATAATTTTTGAATTTAATATAAAAAGTTTATAGTTTGAGTTTTAAAAGTAGAATGTTATTTTAATTTTTGAAAAATGACATCAAATGGATCTCATTCGTTCAATAATTGCATAATCGTGTCTGATACCGTGAGTATTACATATTTCCAAAAGGTGAGCGTATACCTTGGCGATAGACCCAATCCTGCAAACTAAGAGATTTATAATATCTGTTTGATCTGCAAACATTTTATGTGTGACTGACAAGTTCCCCTATCTAATACAAAGATTAGATAGGTTTTATTTTACCTAGGTTCCAAATTCTCTATAGAAGCAAGCCCCTATAGTTAATTACATCCCAAATGACGGGAGGCACTTGAGAAAACTCTCGATAATTATCAGAGGTATTAGTCTTCAAGATTTCAAAATTTAAGTTTTCACAGTAGGATGTGGAAAACCAAATGGGAGTAGCTCGAATAGGAACATTTATTTTCAGGAGTCCAAAGGAAGGAAAAAGTAAGGGATGTCACAGATTCTGAGGGGAATCCTCGATGCCTTCCAAACTATTCTATTGTGCGGTTGTGTTTTGGAGATGATGTTATTTAGGTGTTTTAATCCTGTCAATTTTATTATTTGGGACTTACACTTGCATAATGATTGATTATGCAAATAGCCCGCAAAGCTAAGAGAGTTTACATCGTACCACACGACAACCTCGAAACCTAAGACGAGTTAGGGCTTACGCTGCACAACATGGTTGTGCAGGGGCCTAAAAGAGGGTGAGAAATCACGTCGCGCTAGGCGAGCTACCTCGAAGTTCTATGGATTGTTTAAACTAGGAAAGTTTAGTTGGTGTAGACTCATTTTACTGTTGTAGAATGACGACCACCTCCACCTG